GTGCCAAGGATCAAGTGCAACCGATTGTGACTAGTAATAATCAGATATATAGAGATTAGAAATGCATGTGCAAACATCTTAGTGTCAATTGCATTAAAAATGAATTTTTCTGTATGAAACTGTGTGAAATGGAGATCTTTTTATAAAGGTCAAAACCTTATTTAATTTTATATCTTAAAGGGTTTATACTGAGTACAATATTGTATAACTGTATTAATTCAATGGTAAACCTAAAAATTTATAGCTAATCTTGAAACAGATGCATCTTAGCTCTGGAAATTGTTATTGAATATGTCAATGCTGTTGTCATGAAATGCTTCTTCTAATTATATGATTATTAAATAAATAATTAAAAAAAAAAGTTTATTCTTGGGGACTCCTAGCTCCAGGTCCTCTTCCCATCCCAATGGGGGACGTTAGTCCGCAGAAAGGATCCTGTTTCCTATAAGGTTAAGCTATAGGACAGTAAAATTAAAATTAATTGTTGATCTTTCATTTGCTTATTTTTTATTTATAACTCTTTTAAGACTCTCTTTTAAGGGCTGGAAAGATGGCTCAGTGGTTAGAGTACTAGCTGCTGTTGCAGAAGCCCAGGGTTCAAATCCCAACACCCACATGGCAGCTAACAACCTCTGTAACTCCAGTTCCAGGGGATCCTATGCCTTCTTCTGACATCCTCAGGCAGTGCATGACATGGGTGCACTTATAAACATTCAGGCAATACATTCATACACACACACACACACACACACACAAATAAATAAATAAAATAAAATGAAAGACTATCTTTTAAATAAAAGTACAATTCAGCATGGTGGTGCATACCTGTAATCCCAGCACTAGGGAGGCGGAGGCGGGAAGATCAGAAATTCAAAGCAGTCTGTGTTACACAGTAAGTTCAAGGCCATACAAGACTGTCTCCAAAAAAAAAAAAAAAAAGCAAAAAATTAAACTAAAAAATGGGAAAACCATGCCAGGCGTGGTGGTGCATGCCTTTAATCCCAGCACTTGGGAGGCAGAGGCAGGCAGATCTCTGTGAGTTCAAGCCCAGCCTGGTCTACATAGTGAGTTCTAGGCCAGCTGGGGCTACAGGCTACCCTGTCTTAAAAAGACCAAAAAAAACCCCTTATTACTCAGGCTTTGAAAGCTCCTGAGTAAACAACACTCATGTAAAAAGGAGTTCATTGGGAAGATTCTCCATTAATATAGAGAGGAATATTCTTTATCCGATATTTAAGACATGGTTTTAATAACATTGGTAAACAAATGTAAATATGTAAGAATGTTTATTTGTTATACATAACTTTTTTGGTATAAAATAAATGCGGACATTCTGGGGAGGGGGAGATTTATTATTCTTAGCTTATTTTTATTCCTGTCTTCTCCAACACACTTTGAGTCTCTAGTAAAAGCATCAGTGTAAAATTGGCAGTTTTTCCTCTAAAATAAGGTATCAATAGGATACATAAGACACCTTCTTTACTTTGACAAAACTTTCAATATTTAGGTTGTGCTATGAAGTTTTGACAGTTTTGTTAACTTCTTGTCAAAGGATGTAAAATTTTAGCTAAGATGAAAAGTTCAAGATATCAATTGTACAGCATGGTAACTACTGTTAATGACAATGTATTGCATACATTAAAAATTGCTGAGAGGTTTTTTTTTTTTTTTTTTTTTGAGACAGGGTCTCCCTGTAGCCCCAGCTGTCTTGGAACTCACTATGTAGACCAAGCCCGCCTTGAACTCACAGAGATCCACCTGCCTCTGCCTCCCGAATGCTGGGATTAAAGGCGTGCACCACCACACCTGGCTGCTGAGAGATTTTTTAAGTGTTCTTGAAAAAAAAAGTATGTGAAGTAATACATATATGTAAATTAGCCTAAGCTCTACAAAATAGAAGTATTTCAAAACATCGTGTCATATGCCACAAATATATAACTTTTATTTAAAAAGAAATTGGGGGTTGGGTAAAGGCACTCCCTAGGAGCTAAAAGGTTTGGGTAGATAATAAAATAGGTTTCTATTCTAAGAGGTAAGACCTGGGGACATTTTGGAGAGTCTAGTGAGGTCTCACAGAGGGATGGACTGAAAGGAGATAAAATGACATGACAGACAGGCAGGCAGGTAAACAACTTGAATATGTTTCTGAACATAAGAAGTGGGGTAAGGTATGTGGGAGGAAAAGGCAGACAGACTTGGCTGCACCAAGGTCACTCACTCATCAGAATGATGAGTGTCTAACACTGGTCTTTAGAAGGTAACCTATAGAAAAAGGTCCTCTTACAAAGACTTCGGTATTTGATGATCATTTGATTGCTTGTGATAGTTAACCTTCATTATCAACTTGACTGGATTTAGAATCGCCTACGAAACACAGCTCTGGGTCTATCTGTGAGAGACATTTCCAGAGAGGTTTAACTGAGGAAGGAAGAACTGCCCTGAAAGTGGACAGCACCATCCCAATAGGCAGGGGGCCTGGACCGAATAAAATGGGAAAGAGGAAAAAGCGAGTTGAGCACCAGTATTTATTTTTCTCTGCTTCCTGAACATGAACAGTGTGACCAGCGGCCTCATGCTCCTGCTGACATGCCTTCCCAACAGGATGCCCTGACTAGAACTACAGGGTTTCCGGGCAGACACAGCTGGCCTGGAACTTGCTATGTAGACCAGGCTGGCCTCTGCCTCTCGAGTGCTAGGATTAAAGCCATGCTCCAACAGGCCTGGCCTAATACATTCTTGTAAGGAACAATAGACTATTCAGAAAATATCAGGCACCTAGCCAACATCTATTTTAATATATTTTTTTTTACCATTTTGATGACATAAAGACACGAATCCTTTTAACATTTTGCTAAAGATGATTTGACTGTGAAAAGCTGGACAGTTTTAGGTCATGCACAGGGCTGCCTGTTGCAAGAAAGGAAGGAGTATTACCTGGGGTGAGAAGTGCTTTTCCACAGACATCTCCAACAGCATAGACACCTCTGACACTGGTATTCTGGAATTCATCTACGATGATGTGACCTTTTTCATCAGTTTGAATCCCCTACAATTACAAAGGGCCGTCTGGTAAACACTGGTGCCGTCTACACTGGGCATTAAACCTGAAGGTGCGTGTCACAGATGCACCTCAAAAACAACCACAAGACTCAACAGCAACATGAAAAACATCTTGACTTGACAAGATTTATATCTTAAGATAAAATTTTAAATATTTTATTCATTTCTGAGGTGTTTTAATGGGATGTGACATTGCAATGCATAATTAAACCGGTCAGGTAAACATTAAAATGAATGACTCAAATATTGGATGTGGCCTATACTCAATGCCCTGTGGGGTCCATTTGAAACACTGTCAACTGTGAAGTACTCCCCCTTGAGGGAGGCTAACTGATACCTCAGGGGATATGGCCTGAAACAGTTAAAGGCACATTCTTTTTGAAGTTTATCATTTTATTTTTTAGAACTCAAACAGATTTTGTATTCTACTCTAAAACACGCTATTTCTCACAATCAAAAATATTTCCATTATGTTGAGTCATCTTTGCTCCAAGATGGGTTGCTTATCTTGTAGCTTTGCAGATCTCAGAGATACACTCCAGTGTGAGGAAAGGTAGTACAGTGCTTTATGCAGAGAAGTAGAATGGTTAAGAATACTATTTTTGCAGCTGGGAAGACAGAAGATGGTGTCAGATCCCCCAGAACTGGAGTTATGGACGGTTCTTAGCCGCCATGTGGGTGCTGGATTTGAACCCAGGTCTTCTGCAGGAACAGACAGCACTCTTAACCGATGAGCCATCACTTCAGCACCCAGGAATTAACATTCTTTTTGGCCTCATTCTTTAAAAAAAATTGAGGAAATAACTGCAGGAACAGACAGCACTCTTAACCGATGAGCCATCACTTCAGCACCCAGGCCTCATTCTTTAAAAAAAATTGAGGAAATAATGGGCTAGAGAGATAGGTCAGCATGTATGAAGCTCTGAGTTTGACCCCCAACACTACATAAGTCAGGCATGGTAGTGCCTACCTATAATCTTAGTACTTAAGAGGTGGAGGCAGGAGGATCAGAAATTCAAAGTTAGAGCTAGGGAGATGGTTCGGTGGGTAAGTGCTTGCTGGGTTAGCCATGAAGATGGAGCTCAATCTCAATCACTTATATAAAAAAGCCAGGTGTGGCCAAGTGTGCCAACAATTCCAGAGTTGGGGAGGCAGAGACAGGAGGATCCCAGGGGCCTGATAACCAGTCAGTTAGCCGAACTGGCAAACTGTATGTATGAGAGACTATCTCAAAAAATAAGGTGAAGAGTGATTAAGGAATACATCCACTATCAATCTCTGACCTCTACATGAACATTTACATACATGTACATACACACATGCACACACTTAACAAATAATAAAGGGAACCAGGAGGGAGAAAGTAGGGGAAGCAGGGCCAGTGGGAAGAAGGGGACAAATTACAACGAAGTTCAATTATACATATGTATGAAAATGCTATAATGAAACTCATTACTTAGTATGTCAAAAATTATATTTAGAATTGAGCAAAATAGGGAAAGAGAGAATTCAGCAAACAGGGCCAGCAAGATGGCTCATTGGGTAAAAGCAACTGGCTACCAAGCCTGATGACCCTGAGTTCAATCTCCAAGACCCATATAGTGGAAGAAGAGAACTGATTCTCAAAAGTTGTCCCCTGAACTTAACACACATGCTGTGGAATGTACATGCTTACAGACACATGCATATACAAGTAAATAATGTAACAGAAAATTCAGCAAATATAGTTGAGTATTAGACCTACAAATGTTCCTGTCTGTACAAATGCAAATTTTTTATCTTTAGTGCAAAGTTTGAAGACTACGAAAACAGACAATGAGTTTGACTAAATTCGTTGACTAAAAAGATTAAGAATAAGGGGTTGAAGAAATGGCTTAGTGATTAGGAGCACTTAGATGCTCTATAACTTACAGAGGAACCACATTTGGTTCCCAGCACCCACATGGCGGCTAAGAACTGTCTATAATTCCAGTTCCAGGGGATGTGACACCCTTTTCTGGCTTCTGCAGGCACTACACACCCTGGTACGCTTACATGCAGGCAAAACACTCGTATACATAAAATAAAAAATAAATCAAAAAATTAAGAATAAGTTGAAGGACCCTAATTCAGTCCCCCTAGGCTAAAGACAAGGAAATAAGTCCTTCAGGCCAAAAAACTGTACAAGGAAGTAAAAATAAAAAAATAATTCTGAATGCTAAGAACAAGCTGAGCTGACCTTTTTCATGCTCTTTGCCCAAAGCTGGAAATCATCCCAGAAATCCCCCCTCAG